ATTCGCCATACCACTGGCTACAAAATTACACTCTTTTTTTTCTTTTATTTTCTTCGACGAGAACAGTCGTTTTTACTGTATGTTACTGTATGATAATGGAAACGGGGAGGTCATTTTTGCATAACATGCTTGTTTCTCATCCAAAATAAGTCACAAAATTCGTTTACACAGGTAGAAACCGATGAAGAATCTAATAGACATAGTTTCAAGGTTTTTATGAGGTCTTAAGAGGGTCTCTGGAAAACCTTTTCCTAAAAAAATGTAGTTTTTTATATTGATTGATATTGATGATATTTAATGGTCAGACTATTGATTTCATTTATGCTTGGCTACATAATTTGAATAGGAACATGCAGGATAAAAGTGTCAAGATATTTTAGAAATGCGTTTATTAATGTTAGTTTATATTTTTATTTGATATTCTGCGATGGGATTGGACTGATTGTTTGCAGAGTTGGCTGAAAAACAGTTTTAATACGTCCGCATATGTTTGCCCTTGAGAATATGCTTCAATCGAACGCCAAAATCGCCGAAATAATTTTAAAGCAGTTTTTTGTTCGACAAAATGTTTACGCGACTCCAATATTAGTTTTAACATTTTTTCAAAGCTTTGATCAGTGCGCGATCGAACAAAAGCCTTTTTATTGCACCAGAGATCTTCAATTGCGTTTAGTTCGCAATGATATTTAGGACAGTATATAATTTTGATGTTATATTTAATTGCCAGCATTTCAAGTTTTGTAGCCTAAATGATAAAATAAACGATTTAGGATCGAATGTCTTGAGAAAAACTAGAAAGATTTTCACTTACGTTTTGGAAAGCTCGATGTGTTGAAAGTATTTCAATAATTTAATTTAATTTTGGCTGGTAATTGTACCCCTAAATCTTTACATAGTTCAACTAAGCCTTTTGATCTACCTTTGTTGTTTCCCTCTTTAAAATAACAATCAATAATTTGTATTTTGCCATTTTCATCAACATACTCAATTTGTTCAACCGGACATCGAGTGCCAATGCTTTTACCAAAGTCTTGTAATGAATATGCTTCGGTTGTGTGAGTCCTTGCGTTGTCTACTATAATTTCTACTTGATTATACTTGTAGTCTTGCTTGAATTCTAGCATTTGAAATAACCTTTCAAACTGTCCCAGAATCGTATCATTATAGAAATAAGCATCTGTTCCCATATTAATACTAGCTGTTGTTGTTCGATCCACATAATTAACATCACAATCGGCATTTAGCGATTTATATTTCAGGACAGCATGCTTCCATTCATTTTCGTTAAGTTCAAAAAATGGTCCACTGGGATGTTGAACAAGAAAATCAGAAACCATATGACGACGGCCACGTCCCTTTGAAAAAAACAATATATTCTCTTTGAAAAATCACCGCTTGGGACCAACTTCACCGCTTCTAAAGGTTGATTCATCTTGAACTAGCAAAGATAAACACAAAAAATAGCATGATCGATGTTTTACTTTAAAGCTTCGATTACTCCACTTACATATAAGTATTCTATTAGGTTTTTGAGTTGGCATTTTCCACGTAGGTGTTTCACCATCAGTAATAGTATAATAAAAATCTGTATGTGTTATAAAATAATTAATAAATTGATTACGATGTTTCACCACATCATCTCTTTCGTGTCCTTCAAAATAGGACGCTGTGAATTTGCTTCGAATTTAGCTCTCCATCTCCGAAGATTCAAACGACAGCTGCTTTCGGATGTTATCAAATCGTCCCCACCTTGTTTTTCAGATCCTGTTACTTCATAATACTTTGTATCAATAAACTGAGCTAGATATGATGCTTTGAAATCTGCGGATTTTCTTGAACATGCTTCAACAACAAATGCTTTTGCATCCGTCTCAATTTCAAGGAACATATCATAAAATGAATCAATGTGTTTACCACCACGTAGATCACTTGAAAACTCTTCATAATCTCCGTTAATAAACACTGTTGCCCATTTGTGAGACGTCTGCGCAGTCATAAAACCAATACGTTTTAAATATTCATCGATATCTTCCCATTTAATCTTGAAGGAATGTAATGACATATAAACCAAAGCACTTAGATATTTCGAGCCACATTTGGACTTACACATTTCAGCAGGATCAACAATGTCGTTTACCAAAAGTTTTTCACTAAAGTTTAATTCTTTATCATCAGTATCCGATGTGGTATTCATCATCCATCACTTCGCTTCCATCTGAATCATCAACGTCTGACGGGTTATTTGCGTCTAGAACATCTATGTTTGACGAGTCGTTTGCGTCTGAAATATCTACGTTTGACGGATTGTTTATATCCGAATTATCTACGTTTGATGGATCATTTGCATCCGAGATCTTTGTTTTTGACTAACGACGAGCTCTTGCATTATGCAATTGGCTGCTTCTTTTATTTCCTTTAGGCATACCAAACTAGCGTAACTCAAATGTAAATGAAATTATCTTCAAAAAACACACATAGTATCAGCAATTTTACTTATAGTATAGTTTTCGGGGAAAGGTTTTCCAGAGACCCTCTTGAGACCTCATAAAAACCTTGAAACTATGTCCATTAGATTCTTCATCAGTTTCTACCTGTGTAAACAAATGTTGACTTATTTTGGATGAGAAACAAGCATGTTATGCAAAAATGACCTCCCCGTTTCCATTATCATACAGTAACATACAGTAAAAACGACTGTTCTCGTCGAAGAAAATAAAAGAAAAAAAAAGAGTGTAATTTTCTAGCCAGTGGTATGGCGAACAGAATGAGATAAAATAATCGTCTCTATCGTTTATGTGGAAAAACTAGATACAGGGAAGGACAAAAGTTTAAGCGGTCTGAGTTTGTCCTTACTTTTGTTTTTCGTCCAGTTCCGTCACATAAAATTGAATCCCTTTTATTCATCCACCGTTTTGTTTGGTTTTCGGCGCTCTTTTCGATGGTGGGTGAATTGAGGGAATTTGAGTTAATGGGGCGGCGTTATTCGCGTTTTCAGCGTTTTTCGAGCCTCCGAGTAAAATGCGAAGGACTCCGTCTCATTAACTCAAAAATCAAATATTTTTTCACCAGTCGATAGCCCTTGAAATTCTGCATCAACCCATGTGACTTTCATTCCAATATCAAAACACCTCTAGATCAGAAAGTTCGCACCACCAAAGCGGACCATAACTCCATTTGGATAGAAAACACAGCTATGCTCCGCTAAAATCTTCCTTGAAAAAAAGACCCTTTTGAATAATGATCCCGGTACCATGAACCGCCGGCTACAAGATACACTAACCGCGAAGATTTCATCTTGGTCCCTGGATTTCCAGGATGGATAACTCACTTTTGTGTCAAAATGGAGTTATGGTCCGCTTTGGTGGTGCGAACTTTCTGATCTAGAGGTGTTTTGATATTGGAATGAAAGTCACATGGGTTGATGCAAAATTTCAAGGGCTATCGACTGGTGAAAAAATATTTGATTTTTGAGTTAATGAGACGGAGTCATTCGCATTTTATTCGGAGGCTCGAAAAACGCTGAAAACGCGGATAACTCCGCCCCGTTCACTTGAATTCCCTCAATTCACCCACCGTCGGAAAGAGCGTCGAAAACTAAACACAACGGTGTGTGAATAAAAGGAATTCAACTTTATGTGAGGGAACTAGATGAAAAACGAAAGTAAGGACAAACGCAGATCGCTTAAACTTTTGTCCTTCACTGTAGGTCTACAAAATTGACCTATACACATTATACTGGGCCCAATTCGAAGCGCCATCACCAGTAGAATTTTATATCTAGAATCTATTTAACAACTTTTTTAGACTCAGTTTTTGATGCTGAATCTGAAAAAAATATTTTCAGAAGCTCAAAAAAAGAAAGAAGTGTAAAATTTTGCACATTTCTCGGGTAAACACCTGTTTTTGATGAAAATATTGGTTTTTGAGTATATCGGATTTTTGGACCGAAAGAAAGCCTTCGCTGAAAATAAGGACCTGATGATATTCGTGATCAGCAGCTCGAGTTCTATTAGATGATGTATAAAAGAGCCAAAAAAAAATTTTTCTTGAAGTTTGAATTGCTTGCACCTTAATTAAAACGCGTTTTTCACAGAAAAATAGCCGTGTTCACCCCATGTAAAGAAATGACGGGAAAAATCAAATTTTAATCGATTCTTTTTCTGATTAATAATCGATTAAAATGACACGATTTTTATCCGATTTTTAATCAGAAAAAATCGATTACGCAGTGAAAAATCCTCAAAAATCGATTTTTATGATTAAAACTCAGATTAAAATTGGATTAAAATCGTGCCATTTTTATCGATTATCAATCAGAAAAAAATCGATTAAAATCAGATCGTTCCCATTCTTTTACATGGATAACTTTGACTCAATTTTAATCTATCATTATTTCTGAATGGGTTTTAATCTATTCTTACCCGTTTCTTGATTTTAATCTGGTCTTACCGGTTTTTTGATTGTAACCTACTCCTATTTGATAATCGATTTTAATCGATTTCAGAAATAATCGATTAAAGTCGATTATTTAGATTTCTCAGTAAAACATCGAGTTTAATCAGAATTTGCCACTTTTAATCGATTTTTCGCGATTTTTCTCTCGAAAATCTATTTTAGTCCGATTTCCAGGCTTGGTTTTTTTTACATGGGGCATGTTTCGATACAAATTAACCACTGTGCGTCAATAGAGAAAATGAAGCGGCTCATGGTTTACAACGATCAAATAGTTATCATTTGAAAAGTATTTCTATTTTATTATCCTAAGAAGATCTACCCTCCGCGTCTTAAATTCATTATCAGTGACTCATATTTAACTTGAATGAAGCATCTCCACCTGACTACGCACTGTCAATATCTTCGGTCATAACTGTTAGATAGTTGAGATTTAAAGGAAGTAAATTGAATAGTAAAGCATAGTGTAAGATGACACGAGAGTTTTCAATCTTCTGGAGATCCATTCAGATTTTAAGGAAACATTCCCATCGTTTTGGTACTGTGTTATTTGAAACATTTAGAAACGAACTGTTGCAAGTGATTAATCTTTTTTGAATTTGGACTCTATGTATAAGATAGACTCCAGTTAGGTATAAGAAATCTCAAAAAGGATAATTTCTCTTAGGCCTTATCTCTACAGTTACCGCCATTTCATAGGAATTTTAGCCTATGATACTGAATATACCGATAAATTGAATGATGGCACTTCAAAAAGAGTATTTGTCGACAGATAATTCTACTCGTGACTTCAAAGCCGCCGGAATTTGAATTTAGCATAATGGTTCTTTCATGTGATATTGATTTTGTAAAAATACTCAAGTCTCATCGTAGATCTGAAAATCTCCGTACACAGAACAACCTAAAAAGTTCATGCTTCCGTAAATCGAAAGAAAAGAATTTCTGCTGTCGATTGGTCATATTACCATTCAAAATCCAAACGGGAAGTACTTCAGAATACCATTTTTCAAATTTTCTGCTACGAACTCACCTGATTGGTCAATTGCGGCCAATGAAACCTCGATATACTTCGATGCACCGGATATTTCTCTTTCCAATGATGAAAATTCGATAAATGTATCCTATTTCTATTGAAATTCATTGAGAAAATGTTCGAGTACCTTGATTTCTGGCGTCTATAATAGTGTCTCATGTTTCTCTCTCGTATCCTCTTTTTTTCTGATGATCTGATTTATTGAGTTCTTTGCGTTATTATTTAGACCGAAATTCGTTCATTGGAGCACATAATTCAGGTAACAGCATTCTATGAGGTTGATCGTTTACCATATTGATTGGGATATAGAAACAAAAAGAAGAAATACAATTGATGAAAGTCGATATCCAGGTGCACTCATTTGTTTGATAAATCTTTCAAAATTTTACCAGCTATTATTGATTTTAGAGACAACGACTAATGGAACGAGAATTCAAGGTAGAGTATTTTGGATTGCATGGTGTCGTTTATGTCTACCATATTCTTACGTCCATTTCATCTAGGAACAAGAAGAACAGATAGCTCGTCTGACTTTCGAGTTGCGTGCTATGAAAGTGGAAATGAAAAAATATCAAAGAGTGGAATCAGTAAGAGTATGTTGTTATTTGAGAACAGAAATACGATGCATTTCTATCCACTAGTTAACCGTCACAAGCGAAGAAACGCAACGCCTTCAGGAGCAAATTCGCGTAAGTTTCAGCAGGATTGATAGCGCGAAAGTTTTTCAATGCTTCTTTTTCTATCCAGCGAAGTGAACAGCAAATTGAACGACTCACTCAGGTAAGACATATTCATTGGAATATCCAGCAGCTGGAAACATATCTTCTTTGTAGGAACGAGATGAGCTTCGCGTAAGCGTAAATTGTGCACGTCGAGAAATCCAAGTCTGTACTTTACTAAACACATCTACTGTCCGCAATAATACTGATTTTCTGTACTTTTAGACGTACAAAGAACGTCTGAGCGTAATTGAAACAGAACCCCGCCGGACCGAAGAAAATCGTTCAAAACGGGAACAGAGTAAAAGAGTTATTGAAGAGCTCGAGCAGAAGTTGTCGGCGTGCGAATTGAAAAATAACGATTTAACTCGTCAACTACGTGATGTAAAACTTCAAATAAGGAATCGAAATATCTTCTTACATATGTTTTTATACGTATATAGGTTAAAGCCGAATCTGCTGTTCTAAGTAGTCGTGTGGATGAATACAGGCAAGTTATTGAAAAGAACCTACATACCATTCAAGAAAATGAAGTCAAACTTCAAGAGCAAACAAAATACGCAACTACTCTTCGTACTCAAATTCAGGTTCGTCTTGTCTTTATAATTCTGTTTCTATCGTCACATCTGCGATTTAGGAATGGGAACGCAAATATAATTCCGCAAGTGAAATGTATCAAGATAGTGCAACTATTCGTGAACAAAGTGAAACGATTAAAGTACGTTAAAAGGATTCGGTGCTGAAATTATCGACTTGACTGATTTTCTTTTTATATTAGAAACTCAAGCAAGAGATCAGTGAGCTGAATAATTGTATTAATATCAACCGTGAGCGAGCATATGCAGCTGCAGTAAGAAACCTGACTCTTTTGACGATAGTATCAAAAAAATATTCTTAGAGTATGACCTAGAGAATGTTGAGTACTACTGTGTAGATGGAAAGCTCGAAAAACGATGATTATATTGTAATATGACAAATCCATCGAGTCACTTT